AGGCCCCACAAATGCATGCAACGTCAGCTGATTAGCAGCAAAATCACCATCACAAGAGACAAAACATGACAAAAAGATGTAATATCACCATGACAAGCAGCAAAATGAAACCAGAGACAAAACCACCACAATTAAATCCAAAATCAGCACAAAAGGAAGCAAAGTTACCATGAATTAATGCAAAATCTGAACGCAAATATGTAAAATTACCACAAAAATATCAAAAATCACAATATAGAAGATTGAAATCATAAAAAAACCACCATAAAAAGACATGAAACCACCACCAAAGGAAGCAAAGTCATCTGGACAACATGCAAAACCAACANCAAAATCACCGTTAAAAGCTGCAGAGCTGCCGTGTAGCTGCAGCAGAAGTTCAGGTTGTTGGCCTCCGCTGAAGGAGTCGAGGGATTCTGGGAAAACAAACGGCAGCACGTCGTCAACAGGCGTCGCCTCGCTCGTTGCTTCATGTTTCAGCGGCTCGCCGTGTGATTTAAACCTGATTACCCCTCGGTAGGAGCTCTCACAAACCTTCTCCTGAGGCGTGGCCTTCAGCCTCCTCCGGCGGCTCCACGAGGCCCCCGAGGGCCGACAGACCATAATAAGCAGCAGCAGAAGGTTAATAACTCCTGAATCCTCTCAGCTTCATTCAGTCCGTTCTTCTGAACAACCAGCCTCCACCGTGGTTCTGGTTAATGCACCGACAGAAGCAGCTCGTCTCCATTTATTAACTCTGTTTCTGCTCCGAGTTCAAATCATAACACAGATGGATGCATTCAACACGTTTCATTTCACTGAGCATCTATTTACTACCTGCACACTTTACGCTTCCAAACTTTTAATGTAAAAATCATCACAAAAATACGTTAAATTTACAAAAAAAAACGTCAAAAATCACCATGAAAACATGTAAAATTACAAAACCACCACAAATAAATCCAAAATCAGCACAAAAGGATGCAAGAGGCTCCACAAATGCACAAAATCACCTGATTAGCAGCAAAATCACCATCACAAGACACAAAACATGACAAAAAGATGCAAAATCACCAAGAAAAGACATGAAATGAAACCACAGATCCAAAATTGGCACAAAAGGATGCAAAGTTACCGTGAATTAATGTAAAATCCTCACAAATTAATGCAAAATCTGAACGAAAAGATGCAAAATTAACACAAGAAGATTTAAAAACCAAAATATATAAGAATGAAGTCACAATAAAAAATACAAAACCACCATAAAAAAATATAAAATCACCACAAAAAGACACAAAACCACCACCAAAGGAAGCAAAGTCATCTGGACAACATGCAAAACCAACAAAAGTCACAGAACCACCATGAAGACGCCAAATGAGACCAAAGAGACACAAAACCACCAAAATTAGATCCAAAACCAGCAGAAAGGAGGAAAAATGACCACGAACAGACAACAATCACTGCAAAAGATGTGAAATGGACAAACCAACCCGTCGAGTTCCAGCTCAGGACCAAAGAAACACCAGAAGCTGCTGCTGGGAGTCCAGACGTCTGATCAAACATCTCATTCAGGTCAGAGCGGCAACAGACTGGACTTGTTCTGATGTTCATGTAGAAAGAACAAATATCGATGTTCAGGCAGCTCCATGTAAACGCTGCAGCTTCATGGTTCTGGTGGTTCGGACCGGAGGCCAGATGGACGGACAGACGTCTGGCTGCTGGCTGAGCTGCCACAGATGGTTCTGACGGTTCCTCTGCTGCGTTCTGAGCAGCCGAGTTAAACGGACTTTCATCAGCGCGGCGCTCGCCTCATTAAAGACGCCGACTGACTGGGTCTGCACGACGCCCGATTATCCGACCTGCTGCAGAACCACCTCCATCTGCTGCTCAGCTCTTCGCCACAGACAGGTGGAGGTCAGCAGGTTCTGCTCCCTCCAGAGCCAAGCTGGGTCGGGTCCGTTGTTCTGAGGGTCATGCCGAGCTCCTCTCATCTCTGTTGAAGCTTCTGTTGTTCAAATCAACACGATTTAATAATTCACTTGTCATTTAAAGTTTTATAAACACACACTAGCAGGTAACAGCGACACCTGCTGCCACGAAGACACACAACAATCCCCCAGACGTCTAAAAAACACCATGAAAGGATGCAAAGTAACGACAAAACACACAAAACCACCACAAGACATGAAAGAGGTGCAAAAATCACATAAAATCACTACAAAACTATGAACGTCATCACAAAAAGACACAAAAATCATCCCCAAACACAAAATCACTGCAAAAAGTATTCAGTAGCACAACGAAAAGATGTGAAAGCATCAACAGAGAACACAAAATCAGCACAAAGACGCAAAATCAACACAAAATCACCAAAAATTCAGAATCAGGACAAAAAGACAAAAACCATCACGAGACACAAAACCATCAAAAAGGGCACGAAAAGACACGAAACTGCCACGAAAAGATGCAAAATCATAAAAACACACAATCGCCACTATATCTCCAAGTCGTTGGTTTAGTCTCAAGTAAAGACCAACAAGTCCCGAGTCAAGGATCACAAATCCAAAGTCAGTTAAGTCCCAAGTTAAAACCAACAAGTTCACATCATATCAAGCTCCAACACGTCCCAAGTTAATACACTTCCAAGTTCGTGCAGGCAAGTCAACACGACTCAAGTCAACACGACTCAAGTCAACACGGGTTAAATTCCAAGTTAAAACCTCATTTTATGCTTTAAGACCAAGAAGTCCCAAGTCATGAGAACCAAGCAGCACTGTTAAAACCCACAAGTCCAAGTCTAGTCCCAAGTAGACATGAGGAAGTCCTACAAGTCTGCATCAAGTCAGGTCGCAACTCGTAATTACTAAGTCCCAAGTCCCCAACAAGAAGTCAAGTCTTGAGTCAAGACCAACATGTCTTTGAGAAACTGTTAAAGACGACCAGACCCATAACATGTCAAGTCCTAACTCGGGACCATGTTGTCTCAAGTCAAGAGAGGAAAGTTACAAGTCAAAGGTTGAGTCTTAAGAACAACAAGTCCCAAGTCGAGGATCACAAATCCAAAGTCAGTTGTAGCGGGTTTGACTGGATTTAATAAGGAGGTGGGGTTCCAGTCAGAGACAAGTCTGAACCAAAGGGACTTGGTCAAACCGGACAGAACCGGTCAGAAACCAGACAGTTCATGAAATTCAGCACAAAAACAAAAACCGCAAAACTCAAACCACAACTCAGCATTCAGTGTATGAACAAACCAGTGATCAGTGTGTGCCAGTTAGTTCAGTCCAGTAAGGAGAGTCCGGCCCGGTTTCCCCACAGGTCAGTCCAATCCAGTGGGTTTTCCCCACAACTCAAAAGTCCATTCCAGGTTTTACCGCCGATCTTTAGACGAAATCACAACAGGAAGTCAAATGTTGCGTCTCTTTAACAGCGTCTGTCAGCACAGCCACTCAGAATATGTCCAGTATGTGCACAGGTACTTACAGGACCAGAACCAGTCGGTCACAGAGTTGGACTCCTCCTGGGAACTCCAAGGAAACAGTAAACAAACCGGACTTTACACATGGTCGGACATGGGACTAGATTAATGGATGACTGGGCGGTGACGTAGTTCTACACAGCGAAGTCCCGAGTTAAAACCAACAAGTTCTAACTCAAGACTAACAGCGATATCAGTCCAGTCCCAAGTCAAGACAAAGCCCTTAGAGTCCATACAGGCAAGTCCTAAACCAAGTCCAACAAATCTCAAGTCAACAACCAACCAACCAACAAGTCCCATGTAACGACCAAGTCCACCACATGTCCGGCCACAACACTGGAACGTTTCAAGTCCCAAGTTAAAAACGACAAGTTTACATCGTGTCAAGTCTAATACATCCCAAGTTAAGAGAGACAAGTTCCAAGTCAAAACCAGACAGTTTTCAAGTCATCAGTTGAGTCCCAAGTCTGGACCAACAAGTTTAAAGCCAAGACAAAGCCTCGAGTCTGTGCAGCCAAGTCCCCAAATCCAGTCAACACAGGTCAGCTGCAGGTTAAAAGCAACGAGTCCACTTCATGCCAGGTTCCAAGAAGTGAACAGAACCAAGCAGCACTGTGAAAACCCAAAGTCAGCACCAGGTAGGACATGGTTAAGTCTCAAGTCAGGACCAACAAGTCCTCATGCAGTGGGCTGTGATTACTGGACGTTAATGGGATCAGTTGACGGGTCGACACTCGGAACATCTCCAGACTTATTCTTAGAACCTGAGCCCACCTGTAGTTCCAGGTCATCCTGCTCCTCCAGCTCCTCGTCACCCTCCTTCCTCCTCCTCGGTTACCATGACAGCATGTCGTCAGGAGATGCTCGGCACTAAAATAAGAGGCTAATTAGTCAGACAGATGCTGATACAGTCGATGATTTTCTTCCCCTCCTGAGGAACCGACGGCTGCGACGCTGCCTCCCGACTAATGCGATGATTCACCCACAAGACCCCCAAACATCCGTGTTCATCCACAGATCATCAGCGCTATGTTCAGGGTTTACCTCCGTGTTGTCTGGGACCAAACACTACGTTCTGCTCAATGTTATCGGCTGGTTTTTAAGAGTTTCATGTTTTCAGACCTGAGAATTCTTTATATTCTCAGGTTAAACAAACCTGTGAAACCATTTTAATGGTTCAGTATCTCCAGAAATAAAACTCCAACCGTCATGAAACTTGGTGAGAACTCAGACTGAATAGTTTGCAGCAGATCAGAACGACTGAACGGATCAAACAGGGAAAACATTTTTAAATATCAGCCCTGAAAAATGGAAACTTTTCGATCCAGGCTGGTGTTGATCCTGTCAGTGTCTATCTGTGGATGGATCCATGTTTCTACTAGAATACAGTCTCTGGTTTTTACCAACTGTTCAGGCTCCAACATCCGTAGAATCAAATGTGTTTTAAACATGGCAAGACAAGGTTTCAGATATTTAGACTAAATATGGATCGTGGAGTTCACAGGTTCCACAGGTTGGTTTTATATGTGCAGACGTCCAGGATGCTTCATGATGTCTTCATGTGGCAGATTTCTCCTTAATGAATGTTCCAGCACGTATACTTGACATGAACAGAGAAAATAACCTTTAAACACTGACAGATGAGCAGATACAGGAATCAGAGAAGGAAGACGCCTCCTTCACGTTAAAGTTCAGAACCGTCGCTGGTAGCCTTTAAAACACTCGTCCTTGACCGGAGATCAGACCAGAGGACAGCAGCGAGTCCTGATTTGTTCAGAGCAGCGAATTTTAGGAGAAAAAAGGAGTTTTCATGGTCAAGACGCTTCAGCGTATGAATAAATGTGTCCTGCACAAGACGGGGAGAGGAGGCGATCAGAAGAACAGGCTTCAAGGACAGACTTCAGGAAGTAATGAGAAATAAAAAATAAAATTAATCCAGAGAAGACAGAAGGAGAGAATCATTTTTCAGTCCAAGCTGAAAATTGAAGCACTGATAATATATTTGAGTTCACTCATTTACCTTATAGAAGAAATACATATATAAAAATGCAGCAGCATTAAATTCTAATATTTCACATTTTATTAATAAAATTTTAAGACTATTTAAAATATCTGTAACCATTTTTCTGATTGTTAAACTTGTAAAATATTTATTAAATTTTTAAAAGTATTAATTTGCACATAAAACTGGTCAAAACTGTAAAGAACATCCACATTAAAAAAAAAAAAAGAAAGAAAGAAAAACACTCTTAATGTTTGGCTGTAAACAGATTTTTCCTGTTTTGTTAAATTACAGTAAATATCTAGTAAACTACCAAAATAAATAAAACTACCTATATAAAAATCAAATCTATGTTTTCCACCAGTGGTAATTTGTTCTTTTACAAAGTTTGACCATAAAATTACAGCTTCACTGTTTAAATATTCGACAGTATTTGCTCATCGTTTAGCTATTTAGAGTTTTTTTTAACACCGTCTGATCCCTACAGGTTTATTATTACGACACGTCGCCGCCTCCACACTCCATCCTCTGGAGGAAACCACCGTCAGCAGCTTCCTGCCGACACCTGCAGCTTCCCGACGCCGTGTCATCAGCATCACAGCAAATGTCACGTCCAATCAGAGGCGGCCGAGGAGCCCCAGGTGCATCCCGCCGCCTCTCACATCGAGCGCCGTAACAAAGCTCCGACGGCAAATTGAAATCCTGAGATCAAAAAGACAAAAAACGGTGGGCCTGATAATGTCAGAGGCGTCGACGGTGAAGGATCCTGCTGAGAGGCTCTAATGAGGCCCAGAGTGGAGCCTGATGGAGCCTTTGAACAGTAATAACGGCGGCTTGATGGTCTCTGGACGGACGAGCCAGACAGAAAGCCTCAAAATGCACCATCAAGTGCCCCTTTGTTTCAGGATAATCAGGTCATTAACACACAACAAAGTCTGTTTGGGGCACTTTTGCTTTTATGAGATTACAGCGATCCAAACAGCTGGAACTTTCCATCACAGCGGCCCTCAGGCTCCGGGTTTGGTCCATAACATCTATCAGCTGTAACAACGTGCAGTAATGACGTTAAATTCCAGATCTGCACACGGAAAGAAGTCCAAGAAGCAAAACCAATTAAGAGTCTTCTAAAGCAAGAAGCCAGTCAGACATTTTCATTAGCTTAGCCACAACTTCTGATTATGTTCATAATCAAAAACAAAATATATGACTAGCTGTCTAAAAGGCTAACAAACTAGCTTCTCGATAAATGCATGAGTCTATGCTACATTAGCCTACTGTTGTGCTAGCTAACTTTGTGAAACATTCTATAGTAGTTGCTGTCGTGGTAGCTAACTAGCTGACTTTGTTAAGCTAACATTGTTCTACAGTAGTGCTAAAAACCCGACTTTCCCTAAAGTTAATGCTATGTTAGCTTGCTGTAATACTAGCAACTCTGTTAACTAGCATTGTTCTATAGTGGTTATGGCCCGGTGGCCGCAGGACATGGGTTTTGGACCCAAAACCAGAAGAAGACGGGTTTAAAGGGAAAACAGGTTTATTTGAGGGAATCTGGGGGTGTGGGACACCAGGAGGCAGGTGAGGGATCCAGGGCAGGTGCGCTGGTCGCAGCGGAGGTGAAGGAGGGCGATTTCCTGTGCAGGTGCTCGTGTAGGGAAAGGCTGGCGTGGGGAACTGAACAGCTGGACACTGGGGAACAGAGAACGGTTACTCGTGAGCTCAAGCTAGCTTAGCATGAACCACATGTACTCTGTAGAGAAAGCTAAGCGGACTGAATGTACCACTCATGAAGTTGGCAATCATCTGGCACCGGAGCCCAGGGAACCGAGGCTTTAACCCGTCTGCTGCTGAGGCGATTAGCTGCAGCTGTGCCAGCGAGGAGCGTCGTCCTCCAACCAGCACCACCCAACCTGAAAATGAATCACAGCCAGCCAAACACACGACAGCAGGGATCCAAAACACAGTAACAAGTCCATAGTCACTGCAATAGTAGAGCTAGCTAAAGAGCTAACATTCTCTAAAGCTAGGATTATGCTATGTTAGCTTGCTGTAATACAAGCTAACTTTGTTAAACATTCTATAGTAGTTGCTGTCATGGTAGCTAGCTTCATTAAGCCAACATTGTTCTGTAGTAGTGCTAGCTAGAGAGCTAACTTTCCCTTCAGTTAAGATTCTGCCATTTTAGCTTGCTGAATATTAGCAACTTTGCTAAACTCAAGCCCTTTATTTGTTACAATCATATCCAGTGAAATGTATTTAGCACCTGTTTTAGACACAATTAAACCACCACAAGAGATATACACACCATTACATTTCTGCTAAATTAGCTTGCTGTAGCACTAGCTAGCCTTGTTCTATAGTACTTGCTGTAGTGCTAGCTAAAGAGCTAACATTCTCTAAAGCTAAGCTTATGCTACGTTAGCTTGGAGATATATATACACACACATATCTTGTGTATTCTTACATTTCTGCTAAATTAGTTTGCTGTCGTGCTAGCTAACTAGCTACCTTTATGATAAACATTCTACAGTAGCTTGCTGTAGCACTAGCTGACTATTTTAACCAGTTTGTCAGAAAAGAATAAAGCCGTTTGGTATAACTGACGTATAAAGCAAATTGCCACTCATAACACTTTGCAGTCAGTAAGTTAATTTACTGATCAGCCAACAGACATTTGAGAGGCCAAGAATGAGTATCGTGACCACAAGATATGTGCAAAATTGTCAAAGTCTTTGCAATGGGAAAATAATTAGTGATCAATCATGGTCAGGTGAAATGTCAAAACAAGTTAAAAGGATCAAGCAAGCACAAACACCAGGCAAAGCACAAACCCTGAAACACTGTCCAATAATGTTCAGATCAGTTGCAAAGCAAACAAAGTGTTAATCAATATGAACATACATTTGAATTAATCAGACATTAACAGCTGACTGAGCTGTGCATGATAATCAAAAAATGTCAACCGATATATTATTGATCCTTTGAAGGACCTTTGTAATTAAAACAGAAGCTCAATTTATATTTAACCACTCGTTAAACCATCATCACTAAACACAGGAATACATTTAAACAGAAGGTAAAGCTTCATGGTTCTCTGGTACTTTGCTGCATTAGTTAACAAACTTTTCCACTTTGACTGTTTTCTGTTGTATTCTTGTATAATTCCAGTCACGCCATCAGAAGTCAGTACAGCAAACATGCACTGCATTAACCTGAGAGGAGAGACGGTACCTCAGTCAAGACGTCCTGACTGGATCCGACACCAGAACCCAGACGGAGGCAGCTGCTGATGGAAACTAAACAACCAGTGAAGTCAGAGTAATAAACTTCTGTCAGCAGATACAAACCTGAAACCAAAGTGCAGCCTGAAGGCCTTTAGAGTTGCTGCTGAGCCTCATGAGTCTGATTAAAGCAGCTGCTTGTAATCAGCTGAATCGTCCCACCTGCTGCCGACCAGGTTTTAAAGCACAACTTTAATGTGCTGAACATCAGTGGATTTATACACCAGATAATATCCTACACAGGAACTGAATGGATTTAGTTTTATAGTTTATAAATCAGCTAATGAAGGGTAAACTGGGGTAAGATGCCCCATAATGCCCCTCCTGACCTGATAGTCAGCTTTAAGTTGTTTTTTTAAATAATTTCTTGAATGACAGAAGTCTTGCTAATCTTTAACCACTGTGCTGGTCTGAAGTATTTCTATGTTATGTTTTAGCAGGTTAATATCATCTTTACTGTTCACATAAAGCCACACAGACGAGATCCCATACATTTGAATAAAAAATAAATGTAAAATAGTCAGAACATGACTTATGAATCCAGATGCCCCACATAGACGGGACGAGTTTAATATGCCGACTTTGATTTTTGATAAGTTATGTTCTCCATCATCTAATACTACAAACAAAAAAAAAAAAAGCTAGCTAGCAGTAAAACTGTAGAAATAACTGTCTAAAAAGCTAACTATTCAGCTAACTTAATGTTATATTACATAAAAACATTATGCTATGTTAGCTTGCTGTGCTACTAGTTAGCCACTGCTACAGCAAGCTAATGTATTATGCTAAATTAGCTTGGCTGTAGCACTAATTAGCCAACTTTATGCAAAACAACATGCTATATTAGCTAACTAGCTACCTTTATGTTAAACTAGCTTGGTGTAGTACTAGCTATTTAGCTAACTAGTTAACTTTATGTAAGATAGTAGCATGCTACACTAGCTTGCTATAGCTACATTTATGTTAAACTTGTTGTGCTAAACTAGCTTGGTGTAGTACTAGCTAACTAGTTGACTTTATGTAAGATTGTAGCATGCTACACTAGCTTGCTATAGCTACATTTATGTTAAACTTGTACCATTATGCTAAATTAGCTTGCTGTAGCACTGACTAGTTGACTATGTAAGATAGCAGCATGCTACATTAGCTTGCTATAGCAGTGACCAACTCTGTTTATGTTAAACTCATACCATTATGCTAAACTAGCTCGGTGTTACGGCAGACACACAAACAGGTGGAGTGTACGGAGGCATTTATCAAAGGAATGAAACTGAAACCAACATGAAATGAGGACACTAAACAGAACAGAGTAAACCAGACCGGATTCAAAAAGGAGCAACACGACAAAAGCCTGAGAAACTCACCAGATGGGAAAACAACTATGGATAAACTAAACTGGAACGAAATGGGATACTCACGGGGCTGGGACCTGAACTGAAGGGGCAGGCGGCCTCGGGGGTTTGGCTGAAGCTGAAGCTGGACCAGGTACAGGCAGGTGACAGGTGTGTACGTGATGCAGCAGGTTCAGGTGAAGCAGCTTGGAGAAGGCAGGAAGGAAACAGGTCAGCGACCAGCAGGGAAACAGGGCTTCATTATGGTCTGGTAGAGTGGAGGGATGAACGGGGCTTTTATGGGACTCAGGTGATTGTGGACAGGTGAGTGGATCCGCTCAGGTGTCTCCAATACCTGCAATCAGACGGGCTGCATGCAGGGCTGGAGAGAGAGAGGAAGGAGGGCGAGCGAGGCTGAGGCAGGGATCCTGACAGGTGTAGCGCTTAGCTAGCTGACTATATGTACATACTAGCACTGCTTTATTAGCTCGCTGTCCCACAAGCTAACTTTATGTTAAACTGATAATGTCACGCTAAATTAGCTTGGGGTAGCACAACCTGTAAGTGGCAAGAAACAGACTCAAAGTGACCACAGATGGACACTAAGTGATTGCAAATAGACATGAAATTGAAGATGGAGCTTCATGTTCAGCCCATAATGATGGGAAGTAAAGGAAGCAGCTCCCACAGACTTCAATAATATTTAAAAGGCGAGCCCAGATTTCTGATAAATTATGTTCTAATACAACAAAATAAAAGCTGACCAGCAGCAAAAAAATGTATAATTATCTGTCTAACAGGCTAACTGGTTGACTTGATGTCACATTGATAATGTTATGCTAAACTAGCTTGCTGTGGCACTAGCTAACTAGTTAAATATAAGTTAAACTAATGACATTATGCTAAATTAGTTTGCTATAACGCGAGCTAACTTTATACTAAAGTAAAAACGTTATGCTAAATTACCTTGGTATAGCTCTAGCTAACTAGCTGACTTGATGTTAAACTAATATGATGCTATATTAGCTTGCTGTAGCACTGCCTGGCTAGCTTGAATGCTTTGCTAATGTCAGCTAAACAATCACAAACCAACACAAAATCACCACAAATAGACACAACAGGGCTGCGAGCAGACACCCAAAGAACACAATGAATAGAAAAGGATGACAAAACGAGCACAATCAGACACACAGCTTTTTTATCCATTAGCTAAATGAATTGCTGATAAGGAGAGGCTGACATTATGGACGGCTGATGGCTCCATCAGTGTCTGAATGACTCCGGTGTCAGTCAGAAACTCCCTCAGGCTCGCATTCGTATGAGATTGAAGTCAGTGTTTGATGAATATTACACAGCTGGTGCAGCCGCCGATTAGAAAGAACAATTTACCGACACTTAATGACATCTTGAGCGCCGTCGACGATGGAGGAGACGAGCTCTCGACTTATAATGGCCATACTTTACCCAGTAATGTGGCCCATAATGGCCGGCGGCTCCCATGAGGCCGAGTGCTGGTGATTCCCATTGAATTACAGGCACCGTCAGTCCGCTGGAGAGCTTCCAGAAATATCTTCCTGGACATGGGGATGAAGTGTTAAATTGAAAGGGGACCTGAGAAATGCTGCTCATCACATGAACGTTTAAGGCAGAATTACTGGCAGACGAGCTGAACGAGGAGCAGGTGAGCTGACTAATATGTAAAACAGGCTCCTGCAGCAGCCTGAAATAAAGCAGCAGCAGCTCTCCTGTGATTTCAGCTGCATCTTTTATTTCGGTTTCATTTGCACAATTTAACATGTTGTTATGTAACGCGCTGCGCCTCGACTCCTGGCTGCCGCTCCGCCTCAGTCGGCCTGTTTGCTGGTGAGACGAGCCAAATGAAAAACTAAATGAAGAGAAGTGCTGGCTCGCAGGCAGGCATTAAAGAACAATGGCAGCGCTGCACATAATCAGCAGCTCAGGCAGGCGACGGCACAAAACAGACAACATGCTAAAAATAAGAACAACGGCGGAGACGTGATGGGAATCGGGTTTGGACCGGCGAGCAGGAGGAACTCTGATCACAGACTGAGAGCTGAAATATGAAGTCAAAGCCCCAGAGAGAGCCAGAGACAAGAGAAACCAGGAGCAAAGTGGCTGATGGAGAAGGAGAGAGAGGATTATTTATCACTGATTGTAGAGAGACGATGGAAGTAATGAGGGCGATCAACGAAAAGGAGGGAAACACACAGAGGAAGGAAGTTAAAACACCAGAGACCGACGACAAGGAAGGAAAAGAAACAACATCCATGGTGTGTAGAAAGAGAGAATAAACACAATCCTGAAAAATACACACGATATAAATGCATGAATATGATTAAAAACACTCTTATATATAAGAGCTGTGTGCAGGATATGAACATGTATGTGCAACAGAGGAACATCTGTCTACTGATGAGCAGAGAGGAGACGTCTGGAGACGTGGAGATGGTTCAACATCTGCAGGACGAGGAGAGAAAATTACCACAAAGAGAAACGAAATGACAAAAGCAAAACAGAAAATGACAAAAACGGGACATAAAACGACAGAAGTTAGACACAAAACAAACAAAACAAGATGTAAATGACACTAAAACAACAAAAACGAGGCACAACAAGACAGAAATTATACAAAAATGGACAAAAATGAGACACAAAACAACAAAAAATAGACCAAAAAAGGCAGAAAATGACACAAAACGAGACAAAGTTGTTCCAAACAGGCACGAAACAACGTCCATGAGACACAATACGACACACATGGGACAGAAAAAGACAAAAATTATACAAAAAATGACAAAAACAAAACATAAAACAACAAAAAGTGATGATCAGCTCATCATCCAGCTCTGCAGAAGTCTGATAACGATCCTGATCATTTGGATCAGGTGTGTTGGAAGAAGGAAACATCTAAAACATGCAGGACTGTGGTCCTCCAGGACCGGAGTTCGAGACCCCTGATCTACAGGCACAGACTTGTTAATCGCTCCTCGTAAGCAGGTGTTACAGGTGTTCCAGGTGTTACAGGTGTTACTGGTGTTCCAGGTGTTACAGATGTTACAGGTGTTACAGGTGTTACAGGTGTTAAAGTGTCTGAGTGCACCTTTTAAGTCAAACAAGTTTGGTTCACGAGTCGCCCAACACGTCACGAGCTTCTGAAATCTGAGTGACAGATTATAAACGGTTGCTGTGGACAGCTGACATTATAAGATCAAAAATAAATCTGGTAGAATAATCATCATTTGGTCCTTTAGACGATGAGCTCTCCAGGTCGACGATGAAGCGATCCGTCTTCTGCTGCGTCGCTCTTCAAACCCTCCAGAAGGACACGAGCCACAAACAGACAACGAGCCGAGTGCCATCAGAGCCTCATCCAGCCGAGAGGCAGAGAGGAAATCACCCGTAAGCCACCGAGGCTTCACCAGCTAAAAGCTTTTACGGGCGCTGAATGACTCCGAGCTGATATTCATGAACCGGTGAGGAGCTGCAGGTCGATCACTCAGGACGAAGCTCCTCAGCATCGCCTGACAGTCTGCACTCAGGGCAGCGAGTCCAGACCGCCTGGAGATGAATGATCAGTTAATTAACTCGTCTCCTCCTCAACGTAGGACGGTGACGTGAAAATAGGTTCTCAGGAGTTTTGTGGATGTAAAAGAAGTTTGAGCCATTTTCTTGTTATTCTATTCGAGTCCTTTCAGACACATTTTAAGCCGTTTTAGGGTTTTTTTGTGGTAATTTTGGACGATTTTTTTAAATCACTTTGAACAAGTGTTGGTGATGAATGCCACTGGGACACATTTAAATCATTTTTGGGGATTTTTTTTTTTTCTATTTTGCGTATCCTGGACAAGTTTTAAGTCATTGCAGACTAATTAGGAGCCATTTTGCTCCATTTGAAATCATTTAGTTTTGCTTTCACTTTCAGTCTTTGGTTAAATTT